CCAATTACCATTTTTAACAGCCAAAATAAAGGAGCAGACAATTTGCCTCCTTCCCCCATCTGTTCATTCACATAAAATATCCAAATATTTGACACATCCCACGGCCTCCTGGAGTGCATATCACAATCAGCAGTCAGGCTTGCTTGAATGAATTCTGGCAAACTGCCAGATGTCTAGAGGCAAGAACCTTTTCAATTAGACATTGGTCCTGGTTCAAGACAAAACTATGTAAGTCAAGAGCTCGAAGTGTTCCCGTGGTCCCCGTGTCTCTGTGAGATGCTGCGACCATTTTGCAGGCAACGCGTGACGTTCACGAGGTGAACGCTCCCTGGCGCCGCGTCCTCACCGGCTGGCTCCTCAGGGGTGGTAACTCCACAGGCGTGCCCGGATCTCCGCGGTGGCGTGGGGGGCCGGACTCCGGGCCCTTGTCTCCTGAACCGGCCACTGCAGCAGCAAGAAGACAAGAAATCGTGTCACTTCATTCACAACATCTGTAATTGACGAGGAAACCCAGCACAACAGAAAAAAATAATGCCGGCTGGGAATGGAGTTAACAAAACACAGAGGTGCACAGCATTCCATGTACAAAGGATTAGACCACCAACTCTTCAATCGTACACATTGGTGTGTCGTTGAATATAATCTTATCGCTTAACATTACACTTCATAATGTGTAACCTGTGCGCCACTCTCACACCTTCATCATTCACGCCCCGTGTTGGCACCAAACCTCTTTCATTATTGGCCAACTCCACATAATTAAATTTGCTCCACACGCGCAGCACCACACACCCCGGACTATGGACACCCAGCACCACACACCCTGGACTATGGAAACCCAGCACCATACACGCTGCGCCACACAACCAGCCCTACACGCCTTGCACCACACACCCTGGACGCTGGGCACCCAGCATCACACACCCTGGACAATCGACACCCAGAATCCCCTAGCAGTGCATCCTGCACCCTCTTGCAGGGCACCCTTGCGTGGCCCGCATCTTTCCCGTGGCTGCGAGTCGGGGGCCCTCCCCTGCGCTCGGGGTGACACTAAACGCGAATTCACGGCATTGGCAAAACTTCCCAATGCGGGGCTCCGCAACCGATTCATGAGACGCGGGCTCCCTCGGGCACCCGCAATGAAGATGTATTCACCCCAGTGACAACCGACGACTCCTCCGACCACATCACCGCCCGTGTCGCCCCGCTCCTCCCCGGGGCCCCGGTACCTGCTGGGGCTGGGGCTGACGCCGCCTGCAGCGGCCTCCTCGTCACGAACATGGCGACTCTTGCCGGCCCGAGCCCCCAGTCTCCCCCTGTGTCTCCGTGTACCTGTCTCCAAGTCTCAGATTATCAGGCTCTCAATTGTTTGTGTTTCTCGTGTCCTGCACCTCTGTTTCCCCTCATCTCTATCTCCCAGTGCCTCGTATTCCCGTATGTCTTTCTCTGTCACTCGTGCGTCTCTAGGTCCCTTCGTATATGTCTTCCCGTATCTGTCTCTCCGTGTTTATCTCCGTGTCTATCTCCGTGTCCCCGTGTCTCTCACCGTGTCTGTCTCTTAGTATCTGTCTCCGTGTTCAGTGTCTATCCCCCGTGTTCAGTGTCTTTACCCGTGCCCCCGTGTCTCTCCCCCGTGTCTATTCCCCGTGCCCCCGTGTCTCTGTCCCGTGCCCCCGTGTCTCTCCCCCGTGTCTCTTCCCCGTGCCCCCGTGTCTCTCCCCCGTGTCTCTCCCCCGTGTCTCTGTCCCGTGCCCCCGTGTCTCTCCCCCGTGTCTCTTCCCCGTGCCCCCGTGTCTCTTCCCCGTGCCCCCGTGTCTCTGTCCCGTGCCCCCGTGTCTCTGTCCCCGTGTCTCTGTCCCCGTGTCTCTGTCCCCGCGACCCGGACCCCGCATCCCAAGATGGCGGCTCCCTCCCTTGCACCGCCGCCGCCGCCGCGCGGACTACCGCTCGGCGCCAGCGCCCCGCACCGTCTCCCACTCCCTCGCTTTCGCCTCACATTACCTCACATTCCCTCACACTCCCTCACGCTCACTCACACTCCTTCACGCTCCCTCACACTCACTCGCTCGCCGAGTTCCTTGTCTCTCGCCCCGCGCGTCTCGGCGCCACCGCGTCTCCCTCACGCCGAGCCCAGGGACCGCGGGGGCGGCGTCTCCATGGCGACGCGTGGCCCCGACCTCGGCCCCAGGGACCGTGGCGATTTCACCGCGAGGCTCCATCCAGGCCGCCCTCACAAGGCCCCAGCTGCTGCTGCCCGTGCTGTGGGCCCGCGAGCAACTCCGGGAGGCGGCCGCCTCCATTCAATCTCCCGCCGTGGCAAGGTGCTTGGTGGTGGTGGCGGCTGAACACAGCACGCATGAGGGGAGGAGGGAATTCCGAATCGGAGCAATGCGAAGAAGCGGAACGAGAAGTGTGGTGACCTGCAGTGTGGTGAGTGGTCAGTGAGTGGTGGTTGAGTCGGTGTGTGTCACTAAAAGGCTTACGCGCCCATTGTTGTCTCATAAAGACGTGTTTATTGTTAGTTTAACACCACGTAGGCTTTCGCGACCAGTTTATTGTTACGAGATAATTTTGAGTAAAGTCACCTAAAGACTGCATAACTATTAGGGCCTCAGGGAAGCAAAATAGATGTTTACTTTTAAAAGTTAAGTAAAAAAATGTATGACCAATAACATGAATCATTTACTAATTTGTCCAGGAAAGCCATGCTGAGTCCTCGGAATCTCTTTCAGGATGGTCCTGCATTTTTTTATTTTAAGATGTTTCGAGACTGTTGATATCATGGGACCTCTTTTGCCAGTGTCAAAATATAATATAAGTTTTCCCCTTTTTTCTGGCAACAAAACAGTTGTAAGATGTTAAAACACCAAACTTAAACATTTTGCGAGGAATCATGTCTGCATTAACCACAGATACTTGTGGCTTTGATTCCTTGCAAAAGGTATCAGTTTGGTGTTTTAACATCCTAACACAGGGGTGGGCAAATGTTTTGACTCGCGGGCCACAATGGGTTCTAAAATTTGACAGAGGGGCCGGGCCAGGAACAGATGGATGGAGTGTTTGTGTGAACTAATATAAATGACGTGTTAAAAATCATTACATGAAAGGATTTGGCCTTTAACAGGTAGCAAAGCATGTATTTGCAAGGCAATTTAACAAATTGCACTAACATGAACAATACAAAAACGTCGTAACTCCCGGTCGAAGTGCGCCATCTAATGGGGAAATGAGGGCATTACAGGAGAAAGGTAAAATTTAATTTAATAATAATATTTGGACAAGTTCGGCAGGCCGGATTAAAAAGCCCAAGGGGCCGTACTTTGCCCATGTCTGTCCTAACACCTGTTTTGTTGCCAGAAAAAAAGGGGAAAACCTATTCTTACGGTGTTTATACACGAGGGGAAAACACTATTCCCTTACGGATGTAAACAGATGGCGAAAAGTCGACTTGCTGTTACTGCCTTCGAGCGAGTCAGGCCATGGTCGTTTGCCACTTGTGCTGTGATCCACCAACCCTGGCTGCCTCCCTGCAGTGCTGCGGCATAGCCAGCACCGCCTGGCTGAGAGGAATCGTACCGAACTTACAATCGATGTCAACTAACTTGGCTTAGCTCAAGCGAGCAGCTCGCCATCCAGAATGTTGCAAATTCAAATCCTGGTTGAGAGTTGACTCAGCCCACCATTTCTTCGGGGGTCGATGAAATAATAACTTTGCGGGGAAGCCAACAGCGGTTGTCCTCTGGGTCGACTCACTCCCGCCACACGAATGAAGAATTTCCACCACTGGCCAATGGCTGTAAAGGGGAGTATTGTTCATTGGAGCAGGAGCTCGCTCGGACTCGACACCGTCTTGGGTACTTGGTGCCCATGGGAGGTGAACGTGGCACAAACACATCCCTCTCGCCCCTCTTACTGTGTGAACGCAATGCAACTGTAAACACCAGGAGAGTTATTGCTTGTATTTATTATGAAACAAATTAAAATACAAAAAAAGCATACAAATGTATTTCATGTTGTAGCACATCGGAAAAGTGGAGTTTGTTCAACTCTTTGGTAATCATCTGATTTTAATTCCACTGTATACCGAGTGACACTGATCGCAGCCGTTCCTTTTCAGTGTTGCTGTGGTGCTGACTTCCTTCGGCTGGCGAGCCAGGGTATGGCTCCTCTTCAATGCTCATGGGAAAGAAGCTTCGCAACATTTGTGATCCACCAACCCTTGCCTTCACAGGGCTAGATTACAGGCTACGTGCATACCCACCAACACCCTGCGCTAAATTACCAATGGCACGTTCTGGACCTGCACACGACAAGGTCTATGAGGCGAGCGAGGAAGATTATGGCCGATTTCTCCCACCCTGGACACTCTCTGTTTCAGCTACTCCCCTCCGGCAGAAGGCTTCGGTCCATCAGGACCAAAACCTCACGCCATAAAAACAGTTTCTTCCCATCTGCTGCTGGCCTGTTAAACAAGGCCAAGGGCTAACACTGTTTTTAACATTTGATCTACATAACGACACGTTGCTGATATAAACTATGTTTCCCTATTTGTATTTTTAAATTATATCTTAAAGCTATTTTATATTCGATATTTATTTAATTTTATATACTTCAGCCCCTTAGTGTTAGACTTTTAACCCTTATTATAGTAAGACTTGTTTAAAACTTATTTAAGATTTTAGATTCCTATATGTTGAATGTATGCACCATCCTGCCAAAGTAAATTCCGTGTCGGTGTGAACTTACATGGCGAATAAAACCCTTTCTGATTCTGATTCCCTTTCTGAAATATGTGGACGGCTATATAGACTTTGGAATTAAGGCTGCAAGAATGATGAGTTCAGTTGATGTGTAACGAGCTGAGAACTCGACAGACCAGAATGAGTCTCACTGCAAGAGTGAGAAGGGTAAAGCAAGGTTGTCATTATGCTTGTTTAACCAGGAAAGAGGGTCCTGCCAAGTTTTGGCAGTAGGGGGCAATGTTGCTGCTATGTGTGATCCCAATTCAGGAATTTGTAGGTAATCTTTTAGCATTGGGATGTTTGGCCAATGCCAGGAAACCAAATTCAAGACAGAGGCGCCAAAGTCAAACCCAGGCGCAACTTGCAGTGTGGCCACAAGCATCACCACAGGCGCCACCACCCTGCTGCACAGCGAGTGGAGTGAACGCGCATTTGAAGGCAGCAGAGACGCGGACCGCCCACCCCATCGTGCACATTGGTGATAGCGCTACTCTTTCTTTGAGCGCATTGCTTGCGCGGGCCTGGCTTGCGGCCGCACGAGCCTCCAAGGCACCATCACGACTGTGACGGCCGCCAGCAGCAGTAACGCGGCGTGTGCGGGGTGGTAGGCCAGCCAGCTGAGCGCAACGACGGTCACCGAGAGCGACACGGCGCCGATTGCCGCAAACACCGACAGGCCAAGGTTCACGAGGTCACGCACCAGCGGCAGCCAATCCACTGCAGAGGCCAAAGGAACACACGCACACGCCCGCCCTCAACGTCTTAGTCGCCACCACACACTGCTCGCATTTCGGACAAACATTCACGCAGTTCTCACTCGATCTTGGTTAATTCCATACAAACACCCGCAAATCCGGCACGTCTACAGTGTCCCTGCTGCTGCTGGCCGCGTCATTTCTTACCGAGCGTGTGGACGATGTTGACCATGAGCCTGATAGCCACGTACATGAGAAGCAGGCCGGCGACACGCAGTGCCCAGCTCAGCTGCCGGTTGCTGTGGTGCTCCAGTTCAAACAGCTCCTGCGGGGAGGGAGAGCCATCAATAAAGCACCATCGCTTTGAGACCTGGAGCGCAAGTGCTAAAGAGGAAGCAGCAGCATTGGTGGCCCTAACCTCTTGACCTTGCATAACAATAATCAGCGTCGTCCTGGAGTATACAATTAACAAAATAAACAAGCGGATAATACACGCTGCATTCACATCCCATCGGCCACACGGCCACCTGGCAGTGCATCACGACAGTAGCGTTGGCTCAACGCAAGCAAAACTCTGGACCGGTTTCGACATTCAGTGTCTCATCAGCAGAGTGAGGCTTGCGTCACCTTACAAATAGTTGTCTTCAGAGTAGTTTACCACACTCAGTGGCTGAATGACAGCAGGAGCTCCTCCATCCCTCTTTTCAGTTTAACCACCGGCCGAGTGGCTCAGCGCGAGTGGCTCACAGCAATCGGAATGTTCTGAATTCAAATCCTCACTTGGGGTCGACTCAGCGTGTGTAATCGTCCCTCCAGAGTCAATAAAATAAGCACCACTTTGTGGGGAAGTCAACAGGGGTTATCCTACGGATAGACTCACCCCCACCATATGAATATGGAATTTCCATCACTGCAGGGCTGTGAATGAAAGAGGAGCGTCATGCCTCGATGCTCACTCCGACATTTACCCCATTGAGCTGGGCGATGAAAGCCCAGCTCCGTCGCCCCAAGTAGCTTGGCGGCGACGCCCGTGCCCCACAATGAGAATCATCCTGGGCTCGATTCCCAACTCGGGTGCCTCTCTGTACATTCTCCCCCAGCCCTGCATGGGTTTTCTCCACGTTCTCCAGTTTTCCTTCCATCGCTAACAACACACAATGTAACTGTCACTGGCTAAATATCTCGATGCTGAAAAATGACCTGCAATTTACTCAACTAGGACCACACAGCAGCAGCAACAACGCCCCCGCCTGCAAAAAGTTGGCAAGACCTTTCTGAAAGAGTCTTGAGACTCGGGAAGGCAGCTTTCCCGGGTAAACAAGTTGAACAATAATGATCAAGAAGGTGTTTATGTAGTTGTGCTGCCACAAGCTTGGGCGGTTTGCAGCACCTGGGCAGAGAATCGGCCCGGGTGGAGGAGAGCCAGGGAGCTCCCAGACTTTGTTGCGTGAGCCACCAGCTGCTCGCCTAGCTGCTTGGCGATGATGGACACCTGCACAGAGACACGGCCAATGCTGGGTGGGGCCTTCAGAGGCCTACAACAAATACAAAGATTCCCGTATAGCTTTAACAAATTGTTGGGGCAAGTTGTGTTAGTGAGCACCTATGAAAGGCAAAACAGCACACGAAGTGGTGGGTGGCCAGCACACTTGGCTGCCTTTGTCTCCCCAGTGGCGATGTTTATAAACCGCACTAGATACTCATTTGAGGCTGAGTTGACCTGAGGGAGGCCCAGGACCGGTTCAGACAATGGTCACTAGTGTTGGCCACGAGCGGAAATCAAACTTGGGTCACCGGATTCGTAGTGCAGTGCGCTAACTGCTGCATCACCGCTCCTCACAGAGGCTGACAGCCACACACCCACACACATCGCCAAGCACACATCCCAAACGTCAAGCGGCCAGCAACCAAATGAACTATTAAAATAGTATAAACTAAGCGTTAACACGCTTCTTGACGTTAGCAAGGTTATTCCTGAAAGATCTTGGGGAAAGGAGAGAATGTCAAGGAATTCCAGTGAAGCAGTGTGAGGGACGAAGCAGAGTGGGTGGTGAGTTATTTGTTGGGTGGGCGAGTGGGTCTGAGTATGGGTGAGTGGGAGAACGAGTGCTTGAGATGTTGTGGTGTGCAGTGTGGTTGGTGAACATGGTGTGGATGAATGAGGTGAAAAGGTCAGTGTCTGGTCAAACGAGTCCTCAGCACGGGTGGGAGAGTCGAGGAGTGATGCTCACAAGAGCACAAAGTCTCTCATATTTCGTAAAAACTACAGCAGACAGCTGTGTTATTTCGCTTGCGGTTTCACTTTCCTGAATCAGTTTGTCCCCCCAAGTGAACACTCCAAATAAACCTCGTACCTCCTCACCATCCTCTCCACTCGAGCCGGCAGAGGAAAAGGACACGCGGAGGTCGCCCACCTGCGCGTACTGATCCACGCCACACAACAAACACGCCAAATGCATGTCCATGCTGCAACACGATGCCTGGCGGCCTTCAAAACAAGTGAATGCGTTGATACGGCCCAGCGGTGTTAAGCTGGCCGCTCATTGCAAAGGTTCGCAGTTATATTCTCGCAGGCCACCCCGGTTAATACTGCGGGTGTAATGAGGTCGCCCACCTGCGCGTACTGATCCACGCCACACAACAAACACGCCAAATGCATGTCCATGCTGCAACACGATGCCTGGCGGCCTTCAAAACAAGTGAATGCGTTGACACGGCCCAGCGGTGTTAAGCTGGCCGCTCATTGCAAAGGTTCGCAGTTATATTCTCGCAGGCCACCCCGGTTAATACTGCGGGTGTAATGAAGCGCAAAATACTACACGCCATCTGCTTCGCAGTGCACGTTGAAGATGCAGTCACGTCCTTTCAAAAGAGTCGGCGATCATGTATTGGCGTCACGTTCCACCTTTGTAAAATTTGAACAAATGACACTAAAATTACTCAACTAGAATCAGACGCACAGCAGCATCATCACCCCTGAGTGTGAAACCTCTGCAGACTGCGCCTGGGAAACACAGCAGTGCCTTCCTCTGCGTTGGTCTGGCGCTACGAGAACGACAGTGCCCGTACTAAAAGCGCTCGTTATTTGTCTTTGACTTCCTCGGCAAATAGCGGCCGCGTTGCCTCACCTGGCCCGGGTGGTAGCGGTGGTAAAAGTGATTGTCGTGGATCTCCGTGTCGGCATTGGGCGGACTCATCCCGAGCAGGGCTATGGGCCGGAACCAGGTGATCTTCTCCAGGAGTTCTGCGGTAGAGCACCCGGCGTGACCGTGAACACCGCTCACCCCGGGACACCGGGAATTTGCGCCATTCTCACGCCATGAACCGACCGAAGACCCTCCCTGTGAGACATGAGGCCTGGCCCGACGCAAAACAGCACGACGCACAACAACCACGGGCGTCGTTGTGGGGAATGGAAGAAACTAGACAAGCAGATAGGAGGCTCCTGGCTGCATGTCTCTCCACGCGAAAGACGCAAGTGGTGCAGGGCCAGGATCAACGGTCACCTGCAGAGAGGAGGAGCCGGCCCACGCGCGCGTCTGAGGCCACGGCCGTGAGGCTCTCCACCGCCATGATGCTGCAATACAATCACATGCGCGGCGTCACGGAGCACGGCGCAGGGTGGTGGCGGTGAGGTCAGAACACTCGCACAATGCTTGTTTAATATGATTAAGGTACCAGGTAGGAGTGGTCTGCATCTTAGCACACAATATGTAAACCTAGCGCAGCAGGATGGAAAAGTGGTGATGCTGGTGCCTCAGCAAGAAGTGTCTTGATTCAATTCAATAATCTGTTAAGAATCTTGATTTGAAGCTTTCGTGACTGCAGGAATCCATACTCTTTGGTTCTTTCGGTAAAGTCACGTAGGTATGAAATAAAATAAATCACGACGTTTCGGGCGCAACACAAGCATCCGTCATCAGGTGAGAAAGCATGATCTGCTGCTGAGGTTTGAAGTGGGTGTAGCTCAAGGGTCATAAAGAAGTGGGCGGGGCGAGTGATGTGAATGTGAGAAATTAGCATGTAACTGTAAGATCGGAGAGCGGCCTCCTCGACGAGTGCATGGAAGTGGCTATGTTAATGTGAGATTAGCATGTTAATGTAAGATCGAAGAGTGGCCTCCACGAGGCAAGAGCGTCAACGCAAGAGAACCACCGCAACAGTGGCCATGCCAGTGAGACACACTGCCCATAACACAGTAAGAACCAACGATACATCGAGGCTAAGGGAGCAGTAGTGGCCATGGTAGTGAGACCCCAGCCCGTCAATGCAAAGGCATCCCACAGGGCAAAGAGAGACGGAGATAACAGCCAAACGGCAGGAAGGATGTAAGCATCACAGCGAGTTATGACTTTACCTGGAGAGGCGAATCTGTTAAGACTCTATACACAGGAATCTTTGTGTTGTGTGATGCTGTGGTTGTCAGTTGGTAACAATGCTGTGGTGGCTGTGTGCCATGCTAATCGGCATTACCCTCATGGCACTCACATTCGCCACATATGTATGAGGGAGAGCGGAGAGGTGAGGAGAGAATGGGGGGGTGAGCGGGAAAGTAGCGCTAGGTCACCTGGGGTTCTGGTGGCCAAACTCTTTGTCGAAGTTGCGGCTGTTGACCACGTCGCTGCGCCACTCTGTGTCTGAAGAGACAACGCGACCGACATAGCCAGCTGTTTGGAATGCAGCGGGGATATTTATCCGACGTGAAGATCAAGGGATGAGGGACGAGTTCAGCTCTTCATGGTGGTGTTTCAGCTCTGTACAATTCAGTGTTTCTATTGGCAGTCAGGCTCCCTTGCAACTGCGAGTGTCTCGTTGGAGACGACCACCCATCAAGGTACAGCTCCTGGTTCTACGCAAAGCCATTGAATACACAACAAAGAACGACCACAAGTGCCGGCGAGGAGATGCCCTCCACGAAGGCACTGGCGGCGTGTTTGTGCCGAACAGGCAAGGAGCTGGGCCCCAGGCAGACACTCACCATACGAGTACCTGGCTTCTCGTTTCACCTCGCTCCCCTCCTTGTACTCCCTGCACAACGAGAACACACACCGTGACGCAGCGTCACGCACCGACAGCCCCAGAGTGGCCCCTGTCCAGCACACACCATTGCAACAAGACGCGGCCAGGAGAAACACCCAACCCCATGGCATTCCAGAGGGGTCCTCTCTGGACGAACCGATCTCACTAGAGCAGACATGGACAAAGTACGGCCCCCGGGCCGTATACGGCCCGTTGGGCTTTTTAATCCGGCCCGCCGAACTTCTACAAATATTATTATTAAATAAAATTTTACCTTTCTCCTGTAATGCCCCCATTTCCCCATTAGATGGCGCACTTTGACTGGGAGTTACGACATGTTTTTGTATTGTTCATGTTCGTGCAATTTGTTAAATTGCCTTGCAAACAAATGCTTTGCTACCTGTTAAAGGCCAAATCCTTTCATGTAATGATTTTTACACGTCATTTATATTAGTTCACACAAACACTCCATCCATCTGTTCCTGGCCCAGCCCCTCTGTCAAATTTTAGAACCCATTGTGGCCCGCGAGTCAAAAAATTTGCTCACCCCTGAACTAGAGCCAGGATAAATATGCGTGGTAAACGTGGCGATTGGCGAGTCCGGCGAGCGCGTGGTGAATGTGGCGAGCGGTGTGGTCGGGTCAGCACCTGCTGTCGTCGTGCTCCACCCACTGGTACATCTCCACGTGGCGCCGCAGCTTCACGGCGTGCACGCGAACGCCGTAGTTGGGGTCGTACAGTGGCTGAGCGAGGCAGCGAGATGCAGCGCGTTAGACACCCATTACCGTCATTATTTTTACCATCGTTATCACAATCATCGTCATCTTTGCAGTCATTGTAATCACCAATACCATCATCACTGTCATTATCATTGCCGTATTTGTTTTTATATAATATTGATATTTTAGTCATTTGTTTTTGTTGCTGCTGTGCTCACGGCACCACGGATCTTCCGTGTACAATGGCTAAATAACCGGGTAAACGGGACCACCATCCATGTAACAAATTAAACCAAAGCAAAGTCACTCGTAATGCTGCAAAAGAAAGCATGTTGAGCATTTTTTTTTCAGACAACCGGGAAATCAGGCCAGAACCGGCACTAATAATCGCCCAAGCTCTGTGGTTCTATAGTGGGATGTCTGGCCAACTTCACACATTAATGTTTATATGAGTGGGAAGAATATGGAGTACCTGGAGAAAACCCACCCTTTATTTAACCAGGATAGGTAATAAACCCATTGAGATGTACGACCTCTTGCGCAGCATCAGCAGCAACGACGGCACGGAGGACAACAGCAGCGCGCAGCAGTCTACATGGCGGCAGCAGCAGCAGCATTCATTCAGCAGTGGCACGTAGCAAAACAACAGCACAGCAGCTGCCACTGTACAACTGCAGCAGTGGCGGTGTGACATCGTTCAGGCTTTTTTAGGCCCCATGCTGCTTGTTTAATGTTCTGGGGCTCAGTTTTTCTCCTTGTAATGTAACCCAGCAGCAGCTGCTGGTGGAATGGAAGCAGCAGCTGCTGGTAGAAAGGAAGCAGCAGCGAACCTTCTCCGTACGAATCGGCCCGGACAGGTGGACAAGCTGCCCGTCGAACTCGCTCGCCACCGAGCCCAGGGCCTGCGGGAGGCTTTTCACAATGGCCAGACCCTCGTCCAGAGCAGCGGCAGTCTTCACGGCGCGTCCCTGCACACAAGCACACGAGCACAGAGACACGAGCACACGGAGACACGGGCAGTCGCACACGGAGACACGGGCAGTCGCACACACAGACACGGGCAGTCGCACACGCAGACACGGGCAGTCACACATACAAGCAGTAGCAAGCGGTAGCACACAGACACGAGGTACAGCCAGGCGCATGTGGTTGCACGCGTGTTAGTGTGTAAATGCAGATTTTTTGGCTTGTTTAACCAAGAAAGACTGAATCTTCACTTTTTTCAGGAGGGTCCTGCCACGTTTCCGCAGTAGGGGACGATGCTGCTCTGTGATCCCAACTGAGTCACTTGCAGTCAGTTTTTAAGCATTTGGATGTTTGTCCAATACCGGTTACACTTTGTGGGTTTTTCAGGTATGGGAGGAATCCGGAAAACCCGTAGAAAACTCATACTGAACAGGGGGGAGAGAGAACATGCAACCTCCACACAGAGAGGCACCCGGGTCTGGATTCGAACCCAGGGATTTCTTGCCCTGCGGCGCGAGTGTCACCACTGCGCTGCCCCTGAGTGAGACGGAACACGTCTCGCCCTCCTTCGGCTTTCCGCTCGTCAGCGCCGTGGGTGCGCACCTCGTTGGTGACGAGGAGGAAGACGGCGCCCAGCAGCAGCAGCGCGCCCACGGCGGTGCCCACGGCGCTCCGCCCCATGCGCTCCAGGAACCCGGTCGCCTCCATGGTGTGGGGGGGTGCAGCCTGAACCACCACGCGGGAACAACCGCACGGGAACCACCACGTGGGAACAAGTCACAACACATAAACAAAGTCAGAAGAACCAGTAACAAACGTCACTAAACACATAGGAACCAATAATCACAACACAGGAACGAACCAATGTAAATGCAACAACATGTGAATGATGAGAACTCCGTCGCAACGAGAGATCCTGCAGCCTGGAACCCAAGATAACGGCACGCAAAGTGTGGGTAACAGTGGGTTGGTGGTGTGCGAGCAGAAGGGTGGATCGGGGAGCGGTTAGCGAACCACGCAACGAACCCAGCGAACCGAGTTCGATTCCGCTAGTGACGATGAACTGGTCCTGGGCCTCCCCTAGATCAACTTGGCCTTAAATTAGTGTGGTGCGATGTGTAAAACATCGCTAATCGGGAGACAAGCGGCTGGGCATGGTGCAAGCCATCCACCCGGCCTTCGTCGGTGCTACTCGCTAACAGCACTTGCCCCCAACAGTCTTTCACGGACACATGGGGGGGATCCTTGTTCTTCGTGGTTGAGAGTCAATGAGTGTGCGAGGGGGAATAGAGAGAGAGGAGGTATAGAGAGAGGGGGTACAGAGAAAGGGGGGGTATAGAGAGAGTGGGGGTACAGAGAGAGAGGGGGTATAGAGAGGGGGTACAGAGAGAGAGGGGTACAGAGAGAGAGGGGGTATAGAGAAAGGGGGTATAGAGAGGGGGTACAGAGAGAGAGGGGGTACAGAGAGAGAGAGGGGGTACAGAGAGAGAGGGGGTACAGAGAGAGAGGGTACAGAGAGAGGGGGTATAGAGAGAGAGGGGGTACAGAGAGAGAGAGGGGGTATAGAGAGAGGGTATAGAGAGGGGGGTATAGAGAGAAGGGGTATAGAGAGGAGGTACAGAGAGAGGGGGGTACAGTGAGGGGAAAAAGTATTTGATCCCCTGCTGATTTTGTACGTTTGCCCACTGACAAAGAAATGATCAGTCTATCATTTTAATGGTAGGTGTATTTGAACAGTGAGAGACAGAATAACAACAAAAATCCAGAAAAACGCATGTCAAAAATGTTATAAATTGATTTGCATTTTATTGAGGGAAATAAGTATTTGACCCCTCTGCAAAACATGACTTAGTACTTGGTGGCAAACCCTTATTGGCAATCACAGAGGTCAGACGTTTCTTGTAGTTGGCCACCAGGTTTGCACACATCTCAGGAGGGATTTTGTCCCACTCCTCTTTGCAGATCTTCTCCAAGTCATTAAGGTTTCGAGGCTAACGTTTGGCAACTCGAACCTTCAGCTCCCTCCACCGATTTTATATGCGATTAAGGTCTGGAGACTGGCTAGGCTACTCCAGGACCTTAATGTGCTTCTTCTTGAGCCACTCCTTTGTTGCCTTGGCCTTTTGTTTTGGGTCATTGTCATGCTGGAATAATCATCCACGACCCATTTTCAATGCCCTGGCTGAGGGAAGGGGGTTCTCACCCAAGATTTGACGGTACATGGCCCCGTCCATCGTCCCTTTGATGCGGTGAAGTTGTCCTGACCCCTTAGCAGAAAAACACCCCCAAAGCATGTTTCCACCTCCATGTTTGACGGTGGGGATGGTGTTCTTGGGGTCATAGGCAGCATTCCTCCTCCTCCAAACACGGCGAGTTGAGTTGATGCCAAAGAGCTGCATTTTGGTCTCATCTGACCACAACACTTTCATCCAGTTGTCCTCCGAATCATTCACATGTTCATTGTCAAACTTCAGACGGGCATGTATATGTGCTTTCTTGAGCAGGGGGACCTTGCGGGCGCTGCAGGATTTCAGTCCTTCACAGCGTAGTGTGTTACCAATTGTTTTCTTGGTGACTATGGTCCCAGCTGCCTTGAGATCATTGACAAGATCCTCCCGTGTAGTTCTGGGCTGATTCCTCACCGTTCTCATGATCATTGCAACTCCACGAGGTGAGATCTTGCATGGAGCCCCAGGCCAAGGGAGATTCACAGTTCTTTTGTGTTTCTTCCATTTGAGAATAATCGCACCAACTGTTGTCACCTTCTCACCAAGCTGCTTGGCAATGGTCTTGTAGCCCATTCCAGCCTTGTGTAGGTCTACAATCTTGTCCCTGACATCCTTGGAGAGCTCTTTGGTCTTGGCCATGGTGGAGAGTTTGGAATCTGATTGATTGCTTCTGTGGACAGGTGTCTTTTATACAGGTAACAAGCTGAGATTAGGAGCACTCCCTTTAAGAGTGTGCTCCTAATCTCAGCTCGTTACCTGTAAAAAGACACCTGGGAGCCAGAAATCTATCTGATTGAGAGGGGGTCAAATACTTATTTCCCTCATTAAAATGCAAATCAATTTATAACATTTTTGACATGCGTTTTTCTGGATTTTTTTGTTGTCATTCTGTCTCTCACTGTTCAAATAAACCTACCATTAAATGATAGACTGATCATTTCTTTGTCAGTGGGCAAACGTGCAAAATCAGCAGGGGATCAAATACTTTTTTTCCCTCACTGTATAGTGAGAGAGGGGGGGTATAGTGAGAGGGGGTATAGTGAGAGAGGGGTATAGAGAGGGGGTATAGAGAGAGGGGGTATAGTGAGAGAGGGGGTATAGTGAGAGAGGGGGTACAGTGAGAGAGGGGGTATAGTGAGAGAGGGGGTATAGTGAGAGAGGGGGTATAGTGAGAGAGGGGGTATAGTGAGAGAGGGGGTGTAGAGAGAGAGGGGGTAGAGAGAGAGGGGGTATAGTGAGAGAGGGGGTATAGTGAGAGAGGGGGTGTAGAGAGAGAGGGGGTAGAGAGAGAGGGTATAGTGAGAGAGGGGGTATAGAGAGGGTGTAGAGAGAGAGGGGGTATAGTGAGAGAATGGGTATAGTGAGAGAGGGGGTATAGTGAGAGAGGGGGTATAGTGAGATAGGGGGTATAGAGAGAGAGAGTGTAGAGAGAGGGTATAGTGAGAGAATCGGTAGAGAGAGGGGGTATAGTGAGAGAGGGGGTATAGAGAGAGAGGGGGTATAGTGAGAGAGGGGGTATAGTGAGAGAGGGGGTGTAGAGAGAGAGGGGGTATAGTGAGAGAGGGGGTATAGTGAGAGAGGGGGTATAGTGAGAAAGGGGGGTATAGTGAGAGAGGAGGTATAGTGAGAGAGGGGGTGTAGAGAGAGAGGGGGTAGAGAGAGAGGGGGTATAGAGAGAGGGGGTATAGTGAGAGAGGGGGTGTAGAGAGAGAGGGGGTATAATGAGGGGGTGTAGAGAGAGATGGGGTAGAGAGAGGGGGTATAGAGAGAGAGGGTGTAGATAGAGGGGGTATAGTGAGAGAGGGGGTATAGTGAGAGAGGGGTATAGTGAGAGAGAGGGGGTATAGTGAGAGAGGGGTATAGTGAGAGAGAGGGGGTATAGTGAGAGGGGGTGTAGAGAGAGGGGGTATAGTGAGAGAGGGGGTATAGAGAGAGAGGGGGTATAGTGAGAGAGTGGGTATATAGAGAGGGGGTATAGTGAGAGAGGGGGTATAGAGAGGGGGTATAGTGAGAGAGGGGATATAGTGAGAGAGGGGGTATAGTGAGAGAGGGGGTATAGTGAGAGAGGGGGTATAGAGAGAGAGGGGGTATAGTGAGAGAGGGGGTATAGTGAGAGAGGGGGTATAGTGAGAGAGGGGGTATAGTGAGAGAGGGTGTATAGAGAGAGAGGGGGTATAGTGAGAGAGGGGGTATAGTGAGAGAGGGGGTATAGTGAGAGAGGGGGTATAGTGAGAGAGGGGGTATAGTGAGAGAGGGGGTATAGTGAGAGAGGGGGTATAGTGAGAGAGGGGGTATAGTGAGAGAGGGGGTATAGTGAGAGAGGGGGTATAGTGAGAGAGGGGGTATAGTGAGAGTGAGAGAGGGGGTAAACGTCTCGTACCCGCTCTCGATGCGCCATGGTTGGCGGTCTGCGCATGCGCAACTGGCGCGGCTGAGGGGAGGGGCGCAGTTCACGTTCCTCGGAGGGGGCGTGCGCCACGTGGCAACGTCACGGCACGGGTGGCGCATGCGCAGTGATGCGCGAGACTGCACGCGGTCGCTGGTGTCCACGTGCTGGCGCGGGTCCCCCGCAGAGGTTTCAGTAAATTTATTTTGGTATAGCCCTGTGAGCCATTCGGCTCTTGAATCGGGTGCAACCACAACACCTGTCTTTCCCGTGAGCTGCCAGCGAGCCTTCGACGCTTCACGTGGCTTCAAAGCGCACATAAACGTTGAGTTTTATAAGGGCACCACGGGGTGACCAGCCCCTCCCCACCCAGCCCCATCCCTCCCACCCAGCCCCTCCCCTCCCCACCGAGCCCCACCCTCCCCACCCAGCCCTTCCCCACCCTCCCCTCTCCACCCAGCCCCACCCCTCCCATTTTTGGATGCACGACGGACGGACGGACACAATAATCCCCTGTGAGCTGGTGTAACCAGGAAGTTCCTACCAGTAAAACACGTCCCTAACCCCAAAGGGCTGTACAAGCTCAAACACCACTCGTGACCAAAAATTAGTGAAGGTGTTATCCCTCCACCATCACCAACATCACCTCGACTCCATCCCTTCATCTCCACCGCCATTGTCCCTCCACAATCAGAAAAGTATAGTCACGTAGAAGGGGAGCAATAAAATAATAAAATAATGTTTACCTTCTACGTGACTTTGCCGAAAGAAGCTTTAAATCAAAAATCAGAAAAGTGTCAAGTTTTATGATTTTTACGTGGATATTCATTTTTATTTAAGTGCAACGCGTTCAAATGTCATTAGTCTCAAAGCAATAACTTAATTTAACGGCCATCAGTTTTTGATACTGCACTGACAGTGGCACACAAGAACTATGAAAATTAACATGCCAACACTGCGGGCTTAAAATGTTTGATATCCGGAGGACGCGTCTGGCCCTTCTGTGCTATGACGTAGGGCATTTACCCAAAACGTTGCCCATTAGGCATGCTCCCCGGTTAAGGCCGCAGCGTGACTGACGAATCTGCTGAGTTGCTATTTAAACACAGACTGGGGTGGAGACGCGATCCAGCATTCGCGCTTTTACTGCGTGTTGCAGAGGTTCGCGATTCGACACCGACTGGCCACCCCGGTTAATACCTCAAGTGTATAACACGTGTGCCGTCTGCTTCGCCAATAGATGTTAAAAGTCAGGTGCCATCATTCGAAACGATTAGGCTAGTGTGTGACCGCGTCACAGTCTAATTTTGCCTAAAAAACTGGCACCGCAAATTACTCAATCGGGATCACAGACATATAGCAGCAGCACCGCAGCACCGCTGCTGCTACAAAATGTAAATTGCTTTAAGTAGCTCATTAATTGATGCCGATTTTGATACAGGCATGCATTGTCATCTGAGTACGTGTGCAAGATGTTTAATTGATTGGACAACAGGAAGTAGACTAACTTTTGATTACAAGATTTAACCACGACACAGGAATCAAGTTCAGTAAAACCGTTGAAAAAAGCGCGTGAGGCGCCATCTCTATCAGAGATGGAAGGAGGTCGATCCGGGCTGGGGAGTCTGCTGGGCCCCGAGGAGCTGATAAGTGATGGACAGGACTGTAGAGATGTTAGCCATACTTAGGGGGAATAATGTTTTGAAACATTTTGGAGACATAGAGAAACACGGACACAGGAGCAGGTGTGCAAACACGAGCCATGCTTTGGGCCATAGCCATTTAATAAGTTTGCAAATGTTATCTACGAGTTCAAGGCAAATAGTAATTTTACAGTGTTGACATTTGATGCTTTATGTAAATTGGTTAACTGGTTATGGTGTTTTCCAAATTTCGAGGATATACATTACATTTTAAAGGTGCATTACTGGCTCGTGTGTGATCATATTTATATTTAAATTTTCAGGCAGAGAGAGTCAAGAAACGTTATTAGCAGGTTGTTTCAGATTCCTTCAGTTACTGACAGTCCTGGACAAATGTTATTAAGTTGTTTCAGATTTCCTTTCAGTTACAGACAGTCCTGGACAAATGTTATTAGGTTGTTTCAGATTCCTTCAGTTACAGACAGTCCTGGACAAATGTTATTAGGTTGTTTCAGATTCCTTCAGTTACAGACAGTCCTGGACAAATGTTATTAGGTTGTTTCAGATTCCTTCAGTTACAGACAGTCCTGGACAAATGTTATTAGCAGGTTGTTTCAGATTCCTTCAGTTTGAGTCGTGGAACTGAGTTTTCAGGTAGATTGTTTTACACAGGAAGTGTATGAACAGGTTTCAATGTTTCAGGCAGTGTTTGATATAGGAAATGTATCAACGGGTTTCCAGCCTTTCACGTCGAGGTTTGATATAGGAAGCGTGGCGTAGACGAGCCGGCGGGCAATCATTGCTCGGCGGGCACTGCGGGCACGCTGGCCAGGGCTGGCAGGATGCCCGCGTACACGTCGATGCCACGCAGGAACACGGCTTCGCTCACAAACTCGTTGTGGTCGTGGAGCAGGATGGGTGTGCGGTTCATCGGAGAGAAGCCGATTGCCGGGAGTCCAATCTACGCACAGACCACACGGCACTGTGTATCACTTGCGCTTCACAGAGAGAAGTTACTGGATTAAATTCTTGACTTGGGAGTCTTTCTGTGTGCAGTTTGTGTTTTCTTTCCCCCTATTCTGCATGGGTTTCCTCCGGGTTCTCCATTGTTCTCCTATAGGGTAAAAGCCCACACAGTGGAACTGGTATTGGCCAAACAACATCCCAATGCTGAAAAATAACCCACAAATCACTTAATTGTGGGAATTGTGTGAGGAGCTCAGAAATCCTTGAAAGATCTGGCCAAAGTCCCACCGGTGGGCTCCTCCGGTAGGCGAGGCTGCGTTGGCTGGATCACGAAACCTGCATGCCCAGCTACCGCATGCCTAAGCAGTTTCTGTTTGGCCAGATAGAGGTGTCTAAACGGGTGCGATATGGCCTACAGAGATGGGGTGATGGGATGTATAAAATACTTTAGTTTTTATGTGGAGGGAGAGTACGTCGGGGAGGTGTGTTGCGTGCGTATTGAAGGTTATGCGGCGTGTGTGAACGCGGTGGAGGAGCCTCAGCAGGCTCTGGCGTATCATGCGTCGTGCTACCTCGCGCAGATAGCGGCTGTCGGTTGCGGCAGGGAAGATTTCTGTCTTCACGTCCAGGTTCCTGTGAAGAGGCAGCATGAGAGACCCACGTGGCCCACACAGATTAGCACCATCACCCTCCGCTCGTTTTCAGTTTATTTATTTTGGTATAGCCCTGTGAGCCATTCGGCTCTTCAATCGGGTGCAACCACAACAAACAAAAAAACAAAAAACATGAACAAGAAAACATCTTAAAGTAACTATGTGGCTCAAGTCCAGTAGGCCACTCTGGTTATCACTGCAGGGGGATTAACTGTAAAACCTGCGCTGTCTGCTCTACAGCAGATGTGAAAGATCCCGTGACATTCGAAAAGAGTAGCCATTGTGTGTTGGTGTCACGGTCCACATTTACTCAATTTGAAAAATCACACCGCAAATTACTCTATTTGGATCACACCTGCAGTCGCAGCAACATCGCCCGAGTGTGGGAACTATTGCAGACTGTGAAACAGCGGTGCTTTCCTTCGTGATGATTGCCCTGCGTTGTGATAATGAAGGCACCAGTACCCAACGTAATCGATTACAAAGGTCTACAATTTTTTTAGACGTCTGCTTCAGAGATGCAATGTGATGTTTATTATGGATTTTGATGTGCTGAATTCAAATGACAAAACAACTGGTTGGCTACTGTTCTCAAGATATTTAAGTTTTTCCATTTTATGTCTATGTATATTGTGTAGATATAGTTTTACTCATAAGTTGTAAACCTAGGTCATGTGTTTATGGTTGGTTTACATGATAACATGTCACCTGTCCTGTTCATGTTACACTTTAAAATTCAGCAAAAAGGTTGTATAAGTAAAATATATTATGAAACAAAAGGCCAAAAACGATTATGTATATATAAGTACATAGTTTAGTTCTTATTCAGTGTCTACTCAGCGATTCTTGGCTTGTCTCTTGTACTCATTAAATGGAGCATCTCTTGTCACTGTCCCGCGATAGTCTGCAAGCATTGAGGGGCTACATTTGTCCTGATAGCTTTTCTCCATTGTTGCAATGTCCTGGGTGAAATCGCTCGCCATGCTCGTCGCTCGCTGCTCCGCAGTTCGGTGGGAAAAAATCGAGATGAGAGTGCAAAGAAGGTATCTTTAGTGGCATGTTGCAACCAAGGCTTTTGTATACCTTGAGGTTTTCCACCAACTCCCTGTAGTCGTCTGCCTTGTTGTGTCCGAGAAAATGTGTTGTCACTAACTAGAAGGCTTCCCATGCCGTCTTTTCCTTGCCAGGCATTGCACTGTCAAATGCATCTTCTCGAAGAAGTTCACGAGTCTGAGGACCAACAAAGACACCTTCCTTTATCTTAGCTTCACTTCACCTTGGAAATTTTCCACGGAGGTACTTGAAAGCTGCTTGTGTTTTGTCAATGACTTTGACAAAGTTCTTCATCAGACCCAGCTTGATGTGTAAATGTGATAACAAAATCTTCCTTGATTCAACAAGTGCTGGATGCTGAACACGTTTCCTCCAAGGCTCCAATGACTATCGGAGTGGCCAATCTGGGAATCTCTCGCACGACTATCCCATTTGTAGAGAGAACAGCAGTGCTCTGTGTATCCAGTCTGCAGACCAAGCAAGAGGTTAACAACCTTAAAATCAAACTTGATTTGAAGCTTTCGTGAATGCAGGAATTACTCTTTGTTTCTTTCGGTAAAGTAACGTAGAAAGAAAATAAATTAAATAATAGAATACGACGTTTCGATTGCAACACAAGCAGTCCTCATCAGGTAGAACTAAATTTGAGAGAGAGACAAAACACAGACACGGAGACACAGACAGACACAAGCAGAGAGAGACAACACAAAGACACAGAGAGAGACACAACATAGACACACAGAGACCCGATGCCTCTGTGTCGTGGCCTTAAATAGAGAGAGAGGTGGGTCTGCTGGAGCAGAGAAATTAGCATTAGAGAGCTGTGTGAAATTGAGATCCCTTCCCTTCATAACTCACTTATCCTCCGTCATCCCAAGTCAAGTTTCGTATATACTGACCCAGTAGCATATCTTTAAAACTAGAGCCAATCAAGCAATATTTTCATTCTCAGTGACCCAGAAATAGTAAAGTTAGACTACATTTATTTCAGAAGCATTTTGGCTGTAGACCAGTATTATTATCGTCATCAAGCACCATAGGCTTTCCCAGCCTTGACTGGATATCTATGAAGCACCGATGAAAAACCATTCAGAGTTCTTCCACACTCAACATCGAGAAGTACAACTGCTGCTATTGTCACCATTAACAGTAAAGACAAATATCCCCCCTATAGCCTTAACAGACTCTTTGGGCAAGTGCAGTTAGCGAGTACCTATTAAGGGCAGCACAGCATACAAGGGGGTGGGTCGCCAGCGCCACGCCCAGTGGTCTTGTTTACACACCGCACCAGGTACTCATTTGAGGCTGAGGAAACCTACGGAAGGCCCAGGACTGGTTTAGATTATCGTCACTGGTGTTGGCCGTGAACGGGAATCAAACTCGGGTCGCCGGATTTGTAGCACAGCGTAGCATTAACCGCTGCGCCACCACTCCCCACTGTCACCAATTGCGGTGGGCGCTGTCACACAGACAACTGGTGCCCCACCAGAGTTGCGTGTGTCGCAAGCGCGAGCAGCGCCGTGTTATGAATGCAATGGCGGAGGGCGGACGGTGGCGGAGCGACGATCGCAACTACACGCGTGTCGGTGGCGTGTGTCGGCGCACGTCTCACATGTCGCGGCAGACAGCAGAGAAGGCGCCCCACCAGGGATCCGACTCGCTCGTAGACGTCACGCTCTGGTCCATTCCCTTCTGTGAGCAGAGCACAACCACACGGTGTCACGACACACCACATGACACACAACCGCTCCAGCCTGCCCAGCCCAGTTTCACAAATTCCACCAGCCTCCCCAGCTTCACCAGCCTGACAGCCCCACGAGCCTCTCCAGCATGAGCGGTCCGAGTGGCACGGCAGCGCTCACCTGGGCAAACTCGTAGGTGACGCCGTCCCCGGCCTCGCGGCACCAGCTCTCCAGCTGCTGCTCGAACGCCTGCGGGCACC